TCTCTCTCTCTCTCTCTCTCCACAATTAATACAAACGATATATTTTTCCCGTTAAATAAGGACAATCTGTTCTCAAAGATACGCGATTCCATCTTATTTCAGAATATTAAATGTTATAACATTTTTAATTTAGTTGGAATTTGTTTTAATAAAATAAAGTCTAAAAAAGTTTTAAAAAAAAAAATAGTGAGAAAGATGAGTAAAATGGGCCAATTTTGGCCCCCGAAACGCCAAAAACGGTATGTTTTTTTTGTAGTTTTTGAGCTGCTGAATCTGGTTCTAATCTTTAAAAATTTTTTATTTGTTGGAAAAGTATTAAGATCAGCATATGAAGCTGTTAAACATATAAGAAGCTATTATGAAAATGGTATGTTAATGAAACTGTAAAACTATAGTGAATTAAACAATGTTAAGTGAAAATCGACTAATACAACACAAATTAATAAATGAAGAAGGCCTTATTTGGTCAAAGCGGATCTTGGTGCTTAAAAATATCTTTTTGCGTGAATCTTACAGTTTCCAGTATTTTTACTACAATAGTTTATAGTATTTTACCACTGTAAGATTGTAGTATTTTTATTACAATAGTAAAATACTTTTAATAAACAGAAATCTATTATACATAGAAGAATATATGTGTAAAAAGAGAAAGTTGAAAGGTGTAATAAACAACAGTGCTCTCAGGTGCTGTAGTCAAGATTTAAAATGGTTTCCATTGATAATGCCTCTGTTTTCAGATATTAATTTTTACTAGCAGGAAAACACAAATTAATACGTAAAGCTCAACAATAATAATTTACAGCATTAGACATTCAACAGCTTTATATGCTGATCTTAATACTTTCCCGACAAATTAAAATTTTTTAAAGATCAGAATCAGATTCAGCAGCTCAAAAACTACAAAAGAACATACCGTTTTTACTTGCTGCTCCGGGGCCCAAAATCGGCCCATCCTCCTTTAAATATTTTTAGAAATCTGAAATTTATAATTCATTAGAGCAATTAAATTCTCTGCATTAAGTAGCCAGACAACAAAGCACATTTGCTAGCTTTATTGCACAAAATTTCTATTTTTAATCCAACTCTCTTCTTGAGGAATATTTCAAGTATGACTAATAGGAGCTGTCTCGTGCACAAGTAGAAGTGTCACGTTGGTAACCCTGCGTCTCCACACTTAATGATTTAGCTCCTGTAAGCATTTTTAGGCGGCTAGTTCAGTATCGAGCAACGCTACTTTCAATGGCGTATAAAAATGCAGATAATCAATTACTAATTGTACTGACAAAAATTAGACTTCTCTGCTTGTACCACTCCCAATTTTTCTCCGAGAGAACCTCGCCAATGTCGCGAATCGTGCTGCTTGATCCTTCGAACAATGAAACACCCTGAATACATCCGGAATCTCGATAATATTCGGACAATATGCTTTTCGTCGTCTCTCTTATAATCGCGAGAGCTTTTCGTAAAAATGCTAAACGTGTCTTACATTCGCGAGTAGAGACCTAAACTCCTTTACACTCGATGAATCTCTTGCAGTGTCGTTTTCTGTTTCCGTGATACTGTCATCCGCTTCAAAACCTAATCTAATTGAAACCGATTATACAACTTTTATAAAATGCTGTTTGTGAGGATACTTTCTTTTATAGTAATGTCATATTTTGAAAAATTATGAAAAAAGAAACAAAAATAAGTTTAAATTTCGTAAATAAATTGCACAAGAAGGTACAATAAGATAGAAAAAGGGGTCTCACCTTTTTATCGAAACAATTCCATTCTCGTCTTCGGACGCTTTAGTCGTGTCGTTAACGGGCGAAAAAAATCCTTCATCTGAATTGTAAAAATTCTCATCCTCCGAGTTTTCAATTTTATTTTCAAAATCTATGATTTTAAGTGATATTTATTTTTCAACATAAAAATTCTTTCAATAGAATTAAACCTCAAATTTCGTTCAAACCGAAATCAATCAGACAAACTGTGACTGCAAAATTACTTGAATCCAAGGTCGATTGAACGTGCTGATCGTTCGAGTCTTCGGGAACCGGAGTCTCCTTTTCATCCAAAACCCTGGGCGCCGTCACATCCTTTTCCACGGACGGCACGAGACTATTCTGTCGCGAAGCGATACCACATTGTTTCTTGAAGGCTTTGACCATGTCGACGTTGCAGCTCAATCGCACCCAGAGCGACAGCTGGCCAAAATTAACGCCGAAGAAGCAAGAAATGACGCTGTTCACAGGTACAATGTAATGCAATTTGTTCTGCGGATAATCCAGGATGTCTTTGATGGAGACTTTCGCCCGGGCGAGGGTGCAGGTGGTATCGTTGGGACGAACGATGTTCACCCTGAAGACCAGATATTCCGACAGCACGTTCTTAAAAAACGAGAAGAGGTTCGCTATACGGTACACGGAGGACGAGTTGAAGACGAGATTGGGGCACTTCATTCGTGGCGTGTAGGCCGTCTTTTCGTCCCAGATGTCCCAACTTATGTAAATGTGCAGATTACATATGTCTTCTTCTTCTGGGATTTTTGCGATCTGATGATCTCAACAAGTGCAACAAAATAATTTTTTTTAGTTAGACAATAAATTACGAAATATACGAGATACATTGGATAAAAAAAAGTAGGTTTTTTAATCATTTTAACGCAATAACGTAAAAATAAAATAAATGTCAAGTTAATTATAAGAAAAATAAAATTACACAATTTTATTTTGTGTGTATTACACATAACATTCTCTCTCTCTCGCGCGCTCCTCCCTCCCTCTCTTTCTATTGCGTCACTTCAACTGCGATACTAACCGACGTGAAAAGTTGCAATCGCGAGATATGGATTTCGATGAGGCCTTGCCTGTCTGTTATTAATAGAGGAAAGGACTCCATTGGATACACTGGCATGCTATCGTTCAGACATTCCTGCCTGCAGGGTAATTTCTGCTTCTCTTGCGAGTTCTTTGCTCTTCGCAAGTGGCACGTTAAATTACATCTAGGAGAGCGCGGCGATTTCGGTCTTTTCAACATTCTCGCGGCTTTTTCCGCCTAAATAAAAAAGATTAGCGTTATACTAAAATTCAACGTTTCATCGGAGATACTGCACATATTGCGCTTACACAAAAGTTATTACTGTTATCGCGGTACGCGAATGACTTTTTGCACTTCTCATAAATCGTGGAAAGGAAAGTAGCGTCGATCGTGTCTTTTGTCGACGAACCGATATCTCTCGTGGAAATGGTTGCAGATTTTCCTTCGTACGCGACATTCGTGCTATCGTCGGTGTAAACGGCAGTTGATCGAGACGTACAGCTCGTGCAATAACAATAATCGGATTCTAAAGTCGTGCAACAGTTATTGGAATTTTTGCAAGTGCAATCGCTTGTCTTTGTACCTTTGTGAAAATACTCGTCCGTTTCGCAATTTTTGTCGGAATTTGTATCTGCGCTAGGGTCAATTTGTTTAACATCATGAGTAGTCATTGTAGTAAGATTGTTATTATTCATGTCAATTGGTGGATTCTCGATCGTGAAAACTTGATTCGGGCTTGTTCTCTCGTTGATATTATTAAACGATATATATTCTTGCCAAACGTCGATTAGAATCAAAAAGATCTGACCTAACGTTATGTTCGGATTCTCCAAAACGGCGAGTTTCTTTCGCAAACTCTTCTGCACAGATTTTGATTCATCACGAAATGTTCGAGAAGATATTTCTCCGTCGCTGTAATAGATACTTATGATATAATGTACAATGATATTCTAATCCTTTACATTCTTTTGCGTAACATTAAAAAAATATAAAATTAAAATGTTAAAAATAAACAAAAAATAAATAAACATAATTTAATAAGTAATCATAAAGAAATATGGCGAGATATAAATAGAAATAGTACAATGTATTATTATATTTTTTTTAAATAGTTAGAATATATAAAATATCTTATTAAAATATCAAGAAACTGTTTCGTATTTCTACAAAAAACACATGAAGTTTTTATAATACATCAAACTATAATTGACATTTGCGACACAAATAGTATAAAATATAAACGTTAATTATAGTTACAAATCAAGAAAATATTTTTAATTAGAAATAAACACACATACTTGCACGCAACATACACACATGCAAGCGCGCGATTAACATGATGCATCACATTTCATTTTCCCTGCACTACACGTTTTTGTACTCTTGAACAATAAATGCTATATTTATTATACTTACGCTTGAATTGAAAAAAATGTATTTGATATTACAAGTTTGTATTGTGTGTACAAAATAATTATATAGTATAAAAATTACACTACGTAGAACTGATAATGCTAAATGACAGAGTTTCTGTCAATAATTCGAATCGCCAAACAATAGCTTTTCAAGAGATACGACTTGCCTGTGTCTCTGAGCCATGTCCAAGATGCCCGTGTATTCTTCCTTCGAAGCGACCCTCGATGCATCCAGGGGCATATTAATCTGCGCCTGATCCAGCAGCTTCAGTATTTTCTCTCGGGATAAAACATTCGCGCCGTTTGTTTCCTCATTCGTCTTCCATTCCTTTAACGGCGATGTCTTCTCTTCCTTTTCTTCCGAAATTGTCATTGTGCTCTGTGTCCTTACATTAGTGATAACCGTTATCGTTTGTATCGATTTATCCACCAATTGATCATTTTCTCGAGTGCTGCCGAGAGCTTTTCCTCGCGTAATTTTGTCGTACATCTCGCAACATTTCTTGCACTGTTCTGGTAGACTGATGGATTGCATATTCGTGGACACGTCTGACGGTGTCCTTATTGTAACTCCGTGCTTTTCATTTTGCTTATGAAAAGTCTGCAAATATCGCAATAGTAAAAATTATGTGTACGGTAATATTAGATAATTTTTAAGATTTCCAAGATATACTAACCGCTAACTGTACCGTCAAGGTGTCTATATTTGCCTGCAAATCTTGAAGTTTTGCAAGCAATTGCTCGTTGGTACTTTTTAACGCTATGATGTTAGCTTGTTCGTTGTTGAATGCAGTCTTTAAGATCTGTTGTTCCTGTGCGTGTTCAGAAAGTTTTCTTCTTAGTTCGATATTTTCCAACTCGACTTGGCCGTATTTTGAAGTGAGTGCAATAAGTTCATTATTGTGTTGCTGCAATATTTTTATTTCGTTCATAAGATCCTTTATCTGCTCGTCCTTCTCGCGTAATGTGAGCTGCGAATTTTTCGCTTTTAACATCTGGTCGTCGATCTCAGCTATACGCGTCCTCTCCGACGTAAGAACAGCCGTGATCTCTTGATTATTTCTAATAACATCACAAATACATTCATATTGGAAACAATTTATGATTCGTATTACGTCTAAATTTAAAAAAAAATATAAAATTTATTACAATTGAAGAAAAATATGTGTTATGTGTGTGTTACACGTTTTGAAAATGTGAAGACAAATCACAAATATACCTCGTGGTTTGTTCAAGAGTAATTTTCAGCTCGTTAATTTCAGTAGTCAACACGGTGTTCTTCTCCTGAGCCGTTATTAATTTATCATTCAGCTGCTTCATCTGTCGCCACACTCGTATATACTCCACGTTCTCCGCCACCTTTTCCTTCTGATTGCAAGTCGAAAGCGCCAGCTCCTTCTCCATCTCCGCTATATGACATGCCATATCTTTCTTCTGCGCCTCCAGTTTCTATACGAACAAAAATTAAACGCGAAAATAATGGCATGTAACATTAATAATGAATAATTGTGGGTTCACGAGATTGCAGTTGTGTTTAAGACAAATCTCGCAATGAAAATCAAGCATACAATACATCTCTTGCTATTTCCGTATTATTATTTTAACCTGCCTACTTAAAATAAACTAGATGGAAAATACCAAATTAAATGTGTACAATTATCTCGAATTGCAAGAAATTTACCTCGATTTTAACAAGATAATTTTGTACGTCGTTGTCATCGTCCGCTGTTGCAACAACACACTGACAGGACGGTATCCTCGCGCGATTATTCTCACTTCGACACGTCCTAGAAAAATGCTGATTTAATATCCATCTTCGCTGCGATGCAAAATGTGTATGTGTTAGTACAATATTAGCGCGCATGACTTACATGAATCCAGAAGACGTTGGTCTGGCGATATTACGACTGCGTGACGATGATCTACCGTTTATCGTGTGACTCAACAACTGATTCCTCATTACAGTAATTTTTTCCTTTAACTGAAACAGCAAAATATATTTTGGAGTAATTTTATCGACAGGAAGCGTTTATTTTATATAAAAATACTGCGTAACATTCACAATGTTTAAAAGTATTAATTTCAAAATTAATCAAATTAATTAATATTAAACTGAGAAATACTTTATAAAATAAATTAAATTATTAGTTAGTAATTTTTATAACTTTATATTATAAATAGAAATTTATTGGAATTACAGAAAAATAATATAAATAAATAATAACGAAATAAAAATACTATCGCTCGAAAAAGTCCCATTATCGTGTTATGATATAAGAAAAAAAAAATCATCACTTTGCGGCAATTTACCTTGGTATTTTCGAGCTCAAGTGCAGCCGTTCTGTTCTTATCGTCAGCAATATCTAATACTAATCCGCACGGTCTTGGAGTACCAGCTAGTCTAATTAGTTTTGTACCGAGCCGTTTGATCTTATCCTCCTGACAGTTTGATAATTTTTTCAGATTATTTGCTTCCTCGAATAAACGTAGATATTTGTCCTCTAGCTGATAACGATCGAGTTTGCACACGAGATGACGCTCTCTGGGATCTACCATAATTAAAATATCATTTATATGCATGTACACACACTTATACATATATTTAGCAAAATAGAAATTAAATTAAGTTACATCTAATATTATAGCACTGTATTAAATGTAATGTATCGCACATTCGCAAATTTATTCATTATAGAAATGTATGATGCAAAGAATTAAATAAAAATAAAATTATGTAATGGTATTATTTTCAATACTAGAAATTTTTATATCACAAATGTAAAAAATGAGGCTACAAATATATCAAAAAGTTAGAAAAGACTATCAAATGTTTTGACGAAAAATTGTCCAATTTAGACTGTATAATAAATATAAATAAATACAAACCTATAGCACTGTTAATCGTGTCCGCGCAAGAGCCTTCCTTCACGGGCACAATATCACGATTTGGATCGTCTGCCATTTTCAATTAAAATTCTGACATCTCTTGCAACCGATGTGACGGTTGTTTAAAACATTGATTAGCACATGGACACTGAAAATTCGACATGCAATAGAATTAGTGCCACTCATTCGTGAAATATATTGATGGCTAGATGAAGAGATAAAAGAATTATAATTTGGAAAAAGTAGCACATGGAAATTTTTGCTTTAAACATTAGGCTGTCGTTCTTGCTTCTTTTTTGTAATCTGCATTATATTTATAATACCGTGTCTCAATTTGATTCTTATTCTTACTAAGAAACAATTATTATTTTTCCAAACATTGTATTCATTTATACAAGTGCGTTAAACGTGTTTTATGATCGATTTTATCGCTGATTCACAAATGAAAGAATTCGAGTAATCGATTCTGTGCTAATTTCGATCTACATTAACTCAAATTAATTCATTACAGAGATGAAGGTAAAAATATAACGTCTCGTTAAATAAAATTATTCCATTTTCGCGAAAGTGCGAGAAAATAATATGCATCATTCGAGAACGATATTGTCCGGAATAGCGATCGTAGTTATCGCTGTTTATCACTTTCGATTCAAGATAAAGGCCGCGCGCTATCTACCAGAGAATTGTGTTTCCACCATTCGTTCATTTCTATTATATGTGAAGGACTCCGAAAGCAAATATGCATAATACATTCATTCTCGCTCGATCTCCATTCTACATGAATCATCTCCGTGTAATATGTAGCGAGAAAAGAGGGAAAGAGTAGGAAGATAAAGGCGCGCTACGTCGAATCAGTCACCACGTCACCGGGTATACGGGACACCGTTGCGAGCGGCACCACGAGACGAGACGCGTATATAGCCGCATCTAGAGGGGAGATCCGACACAACCTGACCTGTCCGTGACCACTGTACCGTACCCTCGCTTTTGACATCGGCGGCGGCGGCGGTGGCGGCGGCAGTGGTGGAGGAGTGTGCGTGCCAGTGGGAAAGGTAAGATGGCGGCGGACGGAGATGCGGTGATTCCGGACCAGGAAAAAGTGCGAATAGTCTCGGATTTTATATTGCACTCGCCGCCGGGCGAGTTCAATGAGGTGTTCAACGACGTGAGGGTCCTGCTGAACAACGACAACCTGTTGAAGGAGGGCGCATCCGGGGCCTTCGCTCAGTACAACAAGGACCAGCTCACGCCTGTTAAGGTACATCATCGTCATCGCACGCGCGATCATCGACGTGCCGCGCGCTGATGTTTTCCCTCGCGGCGAGCCCCCGGAAACGGCACATGCCCTCGCGTGTCCCGAGCGCGTTCGCGTGCTCGCCCTGTGTTTCTCCTAGAGTGTATCGATTCCAGAGGCCCGCGAGGCGCGACTACGGTGACCTTACTTTCTCTCTTTTACCTCGCGTTATCGAAAGCCTGCCGGAATTCGTACAGGTGACGTTGATTTAAAGCGCCGATGCGATAGCGACGATGCCTCCGTGGCGGTTCTCACGCCACCGGCGCGAATAACTCACACTCTGTGCCGGATTCTAGAAATTTTCTCGGCCAAAGTGCCAAGAACATTGCACCAATACCTGGTTCACGATGCTCCTTAATGTATGAAACGACCGCTGTTCTCCCTTTTTTCCGCTTACAATGAAGCGCTACTTTGGTATCTGTACATTTTGGAAACTAGCTCGATTCAGTTAAGGTTAGACATTGCCCTGTCCATAAGCAACATCACAGTGGCTTTGTGTGTAGCTTGTTTCTCTGTATTGAAATTGCTACAATTGCACTTGATCTATTCTCCCTTTTTTGTATTAAATTATGAGTGAACGTGCGGATGTGTGTGTGTGTGTGTGCGTGTAAAATTATGTTTCAGTGCATTCATTAGCATTCAGAAGAATAAGTGTGTAAAATAAAATACTAATATATATAAAAAATTAATGAAAATTTTGAAAACTCACATACAGATTGAGGGAAGCGACCATCCAGCGCTCATAACAGAACACAATGACCTGGGTTCTCAGAGGTTTTACGACGCACGGAGTAAGCAAAGTTTTAAATATGATCATTTGAGGAAGGAGGCGCAAGATTACGAATCCTATGAACCAGACCCTGCAGCGGAACCTTGGAGATCAGCTCTTCAAGAGGAGATAACGAATTATACTCAAAGTCACTACAGACATGGTGCTTGCTCAGTTTTTGGAAAATCCCTTGGAGGTAGTTGCTTTCCAATATTGAATAACTATTTAAATAAATGGATTATAAAATAATATGTATAAATTTTTTTTTTACACAGGAAACATAACGCTAACAGCATGCATAGAAGATCATCAGTTTCAACCTAAAAACTTCTGGAACGGCCGCTGGCGTTCGGTGTGGACCGTAAGTTTTACTCCAAATTCGGGAAACGCCGAATTGAGAGGTAGTCTCAAAGTACAAGTACATTATTACGAAGACGGAAATGTACAACTGGTCAGTAGCAAAGAGGTGAAGGAGAGCCTGTCGATCTCCAATGAGAAGCAAACGGCGAAGGATTTAATACGGTTTGTCGAGGAATCGGAAAATGATTATCAAACGGCAATCTCCGAGAACTATCAAACGATGTCTGACACCACTTTCAAGGCATTGCGAAGGCAATTGCCAGTAATGCGGACAAAAATCGACTGGAACAAAATCGTATCGTACAGTATTGGCAAAGAGCTTAAAAGTCAATAGAAATAGATTTTTTATATAATAATAATAATATTAAAAGAAATAATTAAAAAAAGGAAAAGTGCATTTTGCTGCATGAGTGAAAAGTCTGGAGGTGTGATGTGCATAGGAGCAAACTATAACATTACCGAGTAAACGTTTGATTGGAGATATTTGATTCGTGTACATGCCACTCAAGGTTCCTCTCGACTCTACATTGTAATCTTGTTACAAAAAGCAATAAAAAACAAAGGGAGATCGGCACTTTTGGCGTTGTCAATTATATCAAAAAATTTGTTTGTGATTTTGAAAAAATTATATTATGAAATGAGAGAGAGAGAGAGATATCGTGATTTTTCTTCGTATAATTCTATATAATTTCGACGTAAAATAATGTAACATTGAATGGCTTGGCGCATGTATATATTGTTTCTACAATTATGCTGATTGTAAATTCCCAAGAGTACGCGATGGTGAAACCTTTGTGCAAATCGTGTTGTTTCTTCGTTGAATCATCTTCGTCGAAACGAGATCCATGATATTCGCATTGTGCAGCATAGTGCAAGATACAATCTTTAACTTCGGATGGACATAGGAAACGATAATAACTGTCGAAGTAAAAGATCTATTCTATACTATTTATAATAGGGTAATGGGGATCCTTGCTCTTATGTTAAGTGATTGAACTGAAGTTAAATTCAATGTTTTTTTTTTTTAATAGCTTGAGGGATGGTGAGAGGCAAAATAGCGAAGATAAATTTAAACTATAATCATGTAGTTGCGAAATGACGAGCAGATGGAGGCAGTTTTTCAGCCTGATATTTGACTTGCAACAATTCTTTGCAAACTTTGTCAAAAATAATAACGTCAGTGATATCTTGTAATTGTTTATTTTATGTTTTTACTTGTATAACATATTTTCTTCCGTCTGGAAGAAGTTTATTGCAAATGGGAGGAAAGGGGGGGGGAGAAATTAGTACACAACATTATTCATTGAGGTTATTATTTTTTTGATAATCTTGTCGATATACAACTACATCGATCTGCTCTAGCATAATTTATCCGTCATTCGATGGTTCATCCTGACTCGAAGCAAAATAATTTTAATTGTTTTTTATCACTGGATTTTGAATTCATCTTGCTAGAAGTATTAAAGCGTATGATTCGTTGTTTAATTTGATTTTATCAATATGATTGATAAAACGTATCGATACGATTGTGAAATGCAAGTTGAGCCTGTACGAAAAAAAATACTATACGATACAAAAGAAAGTTTTCTCATGGATGTGCCGATGTGCGAATAAAATAGCGAAATTTAAGAATGAATGTCAAAATATAAGGAAGATCTTTAGACTGACTCATTTGTGAATGGAAGACAAATCTCCCGTAACGCTTAAGCCTTAGATCATTTGGAACGACGCGACGACACATCTCGCGCGTAGAAAATTTCGGACGAAAGACCATCTGTTCCGAGCACTCTGCTATTTATCGATACAACACGCTGGGGCCATGGGTGATGTCAAACGCATAATATATCAAATACGAGGACATTAGATGTGTCTATGATTTACCAGCCCGGTACCGAACGCCGTTAAGTGTTCATTACCGCGTTAAATATACAAAGTACGAGAGAAACGAGGAAACATAAACTCTTTAACAGATATTGGTGGGCGAGGCCTACTGTTTTTATCTCACTTTATATTTCATAAAGTATATAAGTCTATTGTACAATACATTTTTGTTAGAGACATGCTTATTGTAAAACAATATACATTTTGACAGAAGTGCATTGTTTTGTAACAAGCATGCCTCTATTATATAATGGATACGTTGCAAAGTTTAATAACTACTTGAATAAAAATAAATGTTAATCATTGCGCAATTTGGTTTCTAAATTGAAATTACACTAGAGTAGTCATTTACAAATGAATTATTCGAGTTTCAGAAGCAGAAGCGTTGAGAAATTTCTTGGTGCTATCGCTTACTACACATTACACAGCCAGACATTGTATGCGAAAAACGGAAACTAACAAAGTACATAATACATTGTACATTGTAGAATGTAGCCTATAGCCTGCTGGAGCCTTAATCTGTTCACTTTATGTTGGGAAATGGGAAATGGGGGATGGAGATCGGGGAATATACTATGTACATATGTTATTTGGATGAATGAATGCGAGGATACGCACCACCATTTGACTTTTAATGCAATAGGATTCGAAACACGTATGTGTAATATTATTCATACTTTGTAAGTTACATCGTAATTCAAGGCATCATCTTCTCAAGCCGCGGATATAAAGTAGCTCTTTCGAGTGAAAGGAAAAAAAAAAATACGCAGGATCTTGCTACTTGATACTTAAGGACGGTGAAACAAAAGTACGTACGGAATAAAATATGATAAATTGTCTCCATTAGCATGCGAGGCGCAAAGTTATTCATGTAAATACACATCGCACGTAAGCTACGCGAATCGTTGTTTGTATTACGTATGTAAATTACAAAACGGAGCGTTGAGATGTTTCGAATCTTGTCAAAACTCCACACGACATAGTTGCCTACGATATTGAAAACTAGGTATTACCTACAATCGAATGTATCGTAACATAACAAAGCGCATGTCCTTATGTAAAAATTTAAACACAGAATACATTTATCAGTTAAATTATGTATTATTGAATGTTATCATTGATTAAATAAAGTGATAATAACACTTTATATACTTGGACTCCTAAATATGAAAATTACTCTCTCTTGTGTCAATATATGGTTTGCATTTGTGTTGATTTTCTCGCATTATACGTAAGCATGTGAACAAATTTGCTGTTATTCATATCGTGTTGTATAAAATAAGCAAAAGTGTTGTATAAAATAAGCAAAAGATTTATGGAATCATTTTAAAAGATAATATTTCTAGTATTATAGTATATTACTTTTTACATATGCATGATACTAACACAAAATTATACATAAAAAATATTTAAATGGGATATAAACTGAAACTATATTGATATTTACAAAAGAATGTTTCGAGTCTGTTAAGATTTGGCAAAGTATAAGTATATAATTCTTATACATCAATTTTTCCACGCAATTTCTATATCTAATGAGAATGCATAATCACAGAAAAAGATATCTTTTCACTTTAACTCATTACAAACATCAATGATTGGTGACTGATATTCATGTAGATTAAATCTCGATGGTATTTCAAGTATGATTAGTTTTTTTCCACTGTATCGCTTTATATAATAAATCACAAAATAAAGTAGTTCAAATTAATGTAATGTATATTTTTCTAGTTCAATTTATCTCATACAATAGCAAAAATAGTATGAATAATGGCATTATTATTACGTATGTGTGTGCTTCTATATATGTGCAATCTACTTGTGTAAACAAATATACTACTGTTGTGGAAGGCACTACATGTCACAATCTAAAAAATCGTAAAGAAATAGAGCTCCATACATACCTCTCGACCAAATTATGCCAACAAGTATTATTACATTCAAGCTGTAAACCGACGTAAAAGCCATGTAAGCTGCAAAAGTGGCTGTGAAAAGTAAATATTCAATGATGCAGCGATCACAGATGATGCAAGACGACGGTAGTGTCATCTATCGTAGACGAGAGTACTATTTCCACGCTAATTACATTCGATTATAGCCACCGTCGCCACCGTATATCCATCTCCGCCATCATCGTAACTCGGACGACGACGAGTAGAATCGTCCGCTGCGGTGTGTTTGTTTTCGTTACCTCTCGCCTCTCACTGACAAGATTAGAACAGATTAGGAGGCGTCTGTTTCACAAGGAAATGGCTTACAACTTTCCCGGAGTACCGGCGACCGCTATGCCGCCCATGGGTAAGGCTGATTGATTTTTTAATCGTGTCGTTACTCCAATATTTACCTTTTTCCAACTCGATCCCGCATTACTTCGACGAGATTTCACCGGTATACAATTCACAGGCATGGGGCCAATCGGTCCGCTGGGTCCTATAGCGGGACCGCAAAGCTTTATGGAACTCGCGAGTCAAGGATTTCCGCCGCTGCCACCGCCTATACCACTGCCTGGAATGAACGACTCGCCTCTGGAATTCAGCACGAACAAGAATCAACCGCCGGTGGTTCGAGAAACCTCGGACGACAGCAACGATAGGAGAAATGACAAGAATGATAACAGAAGAGATCGGGAAAATAGGGATAATCGCGAAACACGAGACAATAACAGAAGGTGATATTTTACTTTTGCCCTCGCCTATCCCCAAATTGCACTAAAAGCATTACAATCAATACAAGCGATCCTTGCGATGTTGTAGGATGTATTTATAAATTTAGTTGTAGTTTGTATGTTATCTTGCGAAAGGTCGAGGAGCGAGCGCAACGACAGGCGCGACAGAGATCGGGAGAGGAGAGAGGAGAGGAACGAACGAGACAGAAGGGATGTGGATCGTAGAGTCGAGGAGAGAAGTAACACAACATCCTCCAAGAACAATAGCAATCCCTCGAACAATCCGAACAACAACGAAGTTCTGTCGTCGACGAACACAAACAGCACGCCGAGTATAAACACGCAGATGGAGCCCGCCGCTGGTGTTTGGGGAATGGGAGTGGGCTATCCCATGATGAGCATGGGCCCTATGGGGCCTATGGCCCCCATGATGGGTGAAATGACACTGGGTCCGCACATGAGTCACACGCACGGCTACAGTCCGATGGGGATGGGCATGATGTCGCACGACGGCAGCATGATAGGCGCTCAGATATTGGGCGCCGAGCAGATCATGTCGGATGCGGCGCAAATAATGACCGCGAGCCTGCCACCGCCGTCCACAACGCCCCAGGGTACCAAAGAGATCATACATTGTAAGAGCTGTGTGCTGTTCCCGCCGAATCCGAACGCTCCACCGCCGACCACGCGAGAGAGGCCGCCGGGATGTAGGACAATTTTTGTCGGAGGTGAGCGTTGGTGTCCGAAATTAATGCCGCGGATTTTACAGCGTGATATAAATGTGATGCTTGCTGCAGGATTGCCGGAAAATATCACCGAAGCTATAATACAGGAGATTTTTGAACGATGTGGAGAGATAACCACTTTGCGGCTTTCCAAAAAAAATTTCTGCCACATACGCTTCGTCCTGGAAGCCAGTGTCGATGCGGCGATTTATCTGTCTGGCTACAGAGTGAGAATAGGATCCAGTGGGGAGGCTGCAAACACTGGTAGACTTCATGTAGACTTCGCACAGGTCTATTATTTGTTGAAACGTCAATGTGTTGAATAATTCCATTTTACTTATGCGCATAAATTGTTAATGATGATTTCACGCAGGCTAGAGATGATCAATACGAGTGGGAATGCAGACAACGGCAATTGCAGAGAGAGCAACGTCATAGAGAAAGGGTGGAAAAGGAGAGACAAAGGCCGCCGTCAAGTCCGCCTCCGGTGGTGCATTACACAGACCACGAAGCATCCAACATCTGCGAAAAGATCAAACAGGACGACACGTTTATGAAGGCAGTACAAGTAAATAATTATCACGAGAAATAATAACACTTTGTTCTCGGCAATTGCTTCTCTGTATTTTTACGATTTGTAATTAATTTTTTTTTTTCCAGGTGGTTGTAACGTGGCTAGAGCGAGGAGACTGCACGAAACGTAACGCCAACACCTTTTACTCGATGATACAGTCGACAAACTCTCATGTGCGACGGCTTCTGACGGAGAAAGCGGCGTACGAGGAGGAGCTGCAGAAGGCGAAAGAACTGATGAAAGGCAGAATGCAAGGACTTCTTATACAATGTACGTCTACATTCCTTTCTCTGTCTCTTAAGTTAGCTCCATACTACCGTACATATTTCATGTGCGTTAAGAAAATCCGCACATACATACCGCATTGGCTGGTAAGTTCACCTTGGGATGAATAGATCCAACAAGAAATCTTGAAGAAATCGTCTCTTATTTGGATATAGCGAACACAACCAAAATCGTAATTATCTCGATCGTGATCGTATAAAAGTAACGAGATGACAGTGTTGCTATTCTTCACGTTGTGTGTACGACGATGAATCTTGCCGCATATCGTGTTCCAATAAAAAAGCAGAGATTTTTCTTATATAGCAGTTACGAAGGTACGTTACATCGTATATGATAATTAATAATATCGATTAGGCACCACAGCCGATTGTAATCAGGTACAAAACCAAATCGAATTTTAAGCTTGTCGATCTCGCGTCATGTAATCCGAAGAAGAAAAGAAAAAAAGACGCCGGTTTCTGCATATCGAGCGACACGCTTGATAGTAAAAGTTGCTGAAATTGATATACGACCGAGTACTTTTCTGTTTTTCACTGACTCTTTTGCGATCTCTCAAGTATATCATAGCGAGCTCGTCATACGAATTCTGTTTGTGGTCAATGCACAATTGGAGGCGGCTCGGTAGGAAGGATCAGATTGTAGGCGAGGATAAGGTGGGTGAAAAATCCTGTCTTCTCGGACTTGAGAACCAACAAAATCGATCAACACGAAGGCGGTTTATCGCAAATTCTATTTCATAGACCCATAGTGTACTTGAAAATTGCATGCTTGGCAATGCTAAGGGTTAAGGGTGATGGGTTTGGACGTCCGTTGTTAAGTGGCTGTTTTGAATCACAGATGCAAATTGCTCTTCATCGGAACGGTGCTCTTTATCGAGTATTCACATATTACGTCATAGGCGTTCAATACGCACGGTACATACAAGGGGACAATTTGACTGTTGAAAATAGTCGTTAGCATCGGAAGTCCGCGAATTGCAAGTCCTCGGGGGATACATTATCCGCAGTAAGGTGGAAAGGCGAACAATGAGAGCGGAATGTTTGGTGAAAGCAACTTTATATATATGTTAGATTAGATGCGCTCTGACACTTGGCACAATCTATGTGAGACTCCGTGAGACCATTCGT